TAAAGCCCCAAGTTTTGCCAAAGCCAGTTATCCCAACGATGATCTTTTGGACTTTGAGTGTGGTGACTGTTCTGTCTTATCCGCTGGAGTGAAAGGGAAATCTGCCTGCCTGGACATCTTCAATCAGCATCACTTGGAGGGCTCATTTGCAATGCTCACTGCAAGCATCTCCTTCTTTTTCCCTGCAGACCCTTTCTGCAAAATGGTACCAACGAAACTGCGTGTGGCAGTAATTGGGGCAGGAGCGGCAGGACTGTGTGCTGCACGGCACATCCTTGCCTCTTCTCGGACTTTTGCTCCACCCGTGGTATTTGAGGCCTCGGATCGCTTGGGAGGCACCTGGATTTACACAGAGGAGAAAGAAGATGCCATGGGAAGAATCATCCATTCCAGCATGTACCGGGACCTCAGGTAGTCACTCAAGGGTGCTTCGGGATGGGCTCTTTATGCCAGTGTCTACCAATATACTAGAACAATGGTCGCCAACCAGTGGGTCGGGGACCACTGGTGGTCCATGAGAAAATTTTGGCGGTCTGCAGAGAAATGTCACCCCCAAAGCAATTAATCCAGGCTGCGTGGGAATACAAGGCTGCGTGGCCCACATGGCCCGCAGGAACACAAGGCTTGCATTGCTTGCATTGTGAACAACACGAGATAGTGAGGGGAGGGGGAAAGGGTGGAGGGGGGGGAACTTGCCCCACTTACCCCATGCGCCTCACCTGGCCACCGGGTTGCTTCTTTCCACTTCTTTCTTCTTCTGCTTTTGTCTGCACCCAAGGAAAGCAGCCCCCCAAACTCCTCCAGAAATGAGTCTTTGGGACCCTGCCAGGCATCCTGCTCCAAGAGGCTGCGCCGGCGCAACAAGTCTCACAAAGACTCATTTCTGGCGGAGTTTGGGGGAGAGAAAAAAAGACTTCTGCTGCTTTCCTTGCATGAAGCCAAAAGTCTCAGTCTCAGTCTCTCTCTCTCTCTCTCTCTCTCTCTTTCCCTCCCTCCCTCTCCCTCCCTCTCTCTCTCTCCTCCCCTGAGAACAGAGCTGGAGATAGTATCCTGCGATCCAAAATAAAGAATGATCGATCGGTAGGAAGACAGGGTGGGGAATTTTTCTGCAGACTTTGGGGGGGATTTTCCCAGAGTCTCTGGTCCGCGGGATTTAAAATTCTGAGTTTGGTGGTCCCTGAGTCCAAAAGGTTGGCGACCCCTCTACTAGAAAGCATAGGAGGAGGCCTCAGGCAGCTATTCTTTTAATACAAAAAAAAAAAAAAAAAGGAAGGAGTCTGGCCAGGGGAGAGGAGTGGAATGCAGGGCAGAAAGAGTGCTTTAACCTGCTTCTGCTCCTAGGACCAACCTGCCCAAGGAATCAATGGCCTTTCCGGATTTCCCCTTTGATCCATCACTGCCTTCATTCCTGCACCACTCGGATGTTCTGACCTACCTGGATAGCTATGCAGAGCAGTCTGGAGTCTGTGACCATATCAGGGTGAGAGATGATGGGGCTGTTAGAAGCAGGGAGTGGCAGAGCAAAAAGAGGCACATGCTCGATGGGAGGAGGGGGGGAAGGGAGCACAATGAGTTGCCAAGGTTTGCCTCTAGATCTTTCAATGCAATACAGCGTAAATGCTGCATCTGTTGATATAATTATTATGATTGATCACACAATCAGCCAGATGTTTAGGCATTTTTTACACTTATCAAACCTTTTCCCAGGAGCTGAAATTATTATTTTTATACTGAGATAGATAGATATGGATGGAAGAGAGAGAAAGAGGGAGGGAGGGAGGGAAGGGGGGAGAGAGAGAGAGAGGGTGAGTCAACTTAAGGTAGTAAACATATATAATACTCCTGCCTCCTATTTTCTGCGACAATAACAGCCCTCTGAAATGGACTGTGGTAAGAGAGAGAGTAAATGGACCAAAATCATCCAGCTGGCTTTCATACCTGAGGGAGGCATATCACTCACCGGGTCCTGGTTTCTGTCCTAACACCTTCACCATTACACCATTAGTTTTGCTGCAGAACAACCACAGCTTACAGGCCAGAGCTAGCTGGTTTCTGGAACTCACCTGTTCTCTTCCATTTTTCTCCACCAGTTCCAATGGCAAGTTGAGGAGGTCAGGCCTGTCCAGAGGGATGCAGGCCGCCTAGGTGGCTGGGAAATCACAGCCTCAGTGCAGCACCCAGAGTCAACCCGACAAGTCACAGAGCACTTTGATGCCGTCATGGTCTGCACTGGGTGAGTCCTAGTTGAGCTGGGATGGTGCTTTTGATAAGAAGAGAAGGAGCAATAAATTGGTGGTTTCCAAGTTTAACTTCCAAGGGTGAAGTTATTGCTGTAATTGTTGTTGCTCTGTGGGGAGGTGAAGATTCAAAGAGAAGAGTGGAGAGTGTAGGTGACTAACCTTCTTGTGATTTCTGCAAAATCGTGTTAGAATGAATGGAAGACCAGGCAAATCACTCGATGCTTTTGTAAATCAAATAAGAAAAGGGGAATACGCTCGGATGCTTGACATGTCTCTGTTCTCCAACCTCCATCCTAATAGTTTTATTTCTGCAGCCATTACACTGTCCCATTTATACCTCCCATTCCCGGGTTGGACGCTTTCCAAGGTAAGCTTTAAATCTTCCTTACTCTTTAGAGACAAGGGTGAACTTCTGGCTAGATAAGGCTAAAATCATCAGGTCCAGCATTTGACTTCCCCATCGTCCAATCAATTGAAATAGTCTAGAGACTTGTTTAATAAACAGTTTACTTATTACATTGTTCTGGAAAATATCCAATCGGAGCAAGAGGGCAGTAGCCTTTTTTTTCTGGTGTTGTTCCCTTACCACGTTGTTTAGACATAAGTTGCCTCTAAATGTTGATGTTTCGTGTAGCACAGCCCAGGGCCTAATCGCCAATAATACATGTATCTGTCATGAACGTGCTTGACGTCTTATTTAAAGCCAATGGACACCCTTATGTCTTAAGCAGCCAATTCCATGAACTTAGTTCTGCCTTACATATTCATGCTTTGATCACAGATATATATTTTTTGTGATCAGTTTGTTTGTTTTTGTTGCAGTGCAGAGTTACATGAGACAACCATTTTAAAAATGCCATTCTTAACTTAAAATTGTTTGTTTTAAATTTATTACAACTATTATGCTACATAATACTTTTTATACATAGTTAATATGCCCTGTCTGAGTGAATGCAGAGAATGTAAAGTTTCTACTTAAGGACCCAGAATTGTTACATAGTTGAATAGTTCATTTATAAAAGAATAAGTAAATAAACAAACTGTTCCCTTTTCCTTTAGTGGAAAGCGTTATATTCTATGTTTGCAACCAAACAGCAAGCAATAACCCATGTTCTTGTTGTATCTCAATGCCTCCTGGAAGTGCAACAAGCATTTTACCAGACTTGGATTTCAAAAACAAGAACAGAGAGGAGGAAATTTCATGAACTAAAAGCAATTTAGCTTCCAAAAATAAGAATACAATGCTCCAGAGACAGCGCACAGATAAGTTCTGGGAATAGGCCAGGAGGAACACTTCAAGAAAAGGAAGATCCCATATACCTCTGACTGAGAGTACCCAAGTATTCAAAGGGCATGATAAGAAGGAGAAGAAGTTAGAAATGTATTCTGTAGGCTTCATTCATTTAACAAGATCAGACAAAGGTGTAGCAAATACCTTTGCAAAATCCATAACCTGTATCTTAGGGAGTCAAATCCAGATATTTAATTACTGCTAACCTGAGGTTTTTGTCATTTAGCATTGGGTGCAAATTCAGTTTATATGATGACTTTATACTAGCAATGGCAATAGCACTTAGACATATATACTGTTTCATGGTGCTTTATAGCCTTCTGTAAGCAGTTTTCAGAATCAGCCCCCAACAACCTGGATCCTCATTTATAGTTCCAAGGTATTCAGCAGACCCCGAGAAAGGGTTAATTCAGTAACTAAGTTAAGCATGTCTTGTGAACAAAGTCAGACCCTCACTATTTTGTGGGGGATTGCAGCATTGTTGGTTTCTGGTTTCTGCCCTTTTGTTCGGAGGAGAGCAAAGTTACCGTCACCATTCACCACCTGCCCAAAGGCATCAACAGGAAAAGTGAATGAGCAAAAAGGTCCAGGCAGGAGGAAAGTAGAATAGTGCCAGCCTTTTGAGGTAGTCCAGACAAGAAGCACAAACCATGAGTACTCATATTACCTTTGTTGTCAGCTTAGAGTAACAGTCTTGCAACTCTGAAAGCACTGCTCCCTTCTTTTACTTCTACATTCCAGAAAACTAGGGAGAGTCCCTTCTGAGTGGCTTCCCTTGCCCCTTTTCCTTCTGTGGGCTGAGATACCTTTTTCATGGCAATTGACTAAAGGTGAAGGTTCCCCCTGCACATATGTGTTAGTCGTTTCTGGCTCTAGAGGGCAGTGCTCATCTCTGTTACAAAGCCGAAGAGCCACTGCTGTCCAAAGTCATCTCCGTGGTCATGTGGCCAGCATGACTAAACGCCAGAGGCGCACAGAACGCTGTTACCTTCCCACCAAAGTGGTCCCTATTTTTCTACTTGCATTTTTACATGCTTTCGAACTGCTAGGTTGGCAGAAGCTGGGACAAGTAACGGGAGCTCGCTCCCATTACGTGGCGCTAGGGATTCGAACTACCGAACTGCCGACCTTTCTGATTGACAAGCTCAGTGTCTTATCCTCTGAGTCACTGTGTCCCTTTTCTGGGCAATTGGCTAGTCTTTGGCTATTCTTCTTGTCTCCCAGGGTCATTCCCCCAATACCATTGCATGGAGGCAGAGCAATAAGCACATATGTTGAATATGTGGTGTACCCTCCGCAAGAATGCCTGTGATGAGATGGAAGCTATCGTTTGCCAACATTTTTTCCCCCTCTCTCTCCCCAGGCCGTCTTCTACACAGCCACTCTTACCGCTATCCAGAGCCCTTTGCCAACCAATCTGTTGTACTGGTAGGCGCTGGTCCATCAGGAGTTGACCTGGCCTTGCAACTCTCCAGTGTAGCTGCTCAAGTAGTACTCAGCCATAAAAGGCAACATGTGTGCGGGCTGCCCAAGGATGTGATACAGATGCCTCCACTTCTGAAAGTGGGGCAAAAGACAGTGGTATTCACAGACGGTTCTAAGATGCCAGCTGATGTCTTGATTCTCTGTACAGGCTACAAGTACAGCTTTCCCTTCTTGGACTTGGCCCAGTTGGGCTTACAAGAGACAGATTATGGAATGGGTCCCCTGTACCAGCATTTACTACCTCCCCAGCACCCATCACTCTTCTTGATCGGGGTTTGTCAGCAGATATGTCCTTTCCCACACTTCCACTGCCAGGTGCTATTTGCGCTGGCTGTGCTAAGTGGGCGCTGTTCCCTCCCTTCTGTGGCCGACATGGAGGCTGAAGTCCAAAAACAGCTGGGACTATATTTGAAGAATGGAGGGTTGGCTCGGTACTTCCTGAAGCTGAAGGAACAGCAGTGGAGTTATATGGACAACCTAGCTCACCTTGCTGGCTTCCCACCTGTGCCACCTGCTGTCCAACAAATTTATGAAGATACCCATGCCAGCCGTCTCTGCAATGTGAGCACCTATCGTAGCAGAAACTATCGGCTATTGGGCCCAAGTGCTTGGGAGTTGGTGCAGGATTGGGGTGAGAATTGCATAAAGACTGGAGATACAAAATGAGGACCCTTAATCCCCACGTGGCAGTCTTCTCTCTTCCTCTGTGTGGTTTTCCTTCTAAGGCCCAACGGCAATCAGGGGGAGTTGGGCCAAGAATTGCCGGGTGAGATAGAGAAAGAACCAAGTCCTCAGATGGCATAATTGAGGTACAAGCAAGAAACTTGAAGCAGATCGTAAAAAGGGAGAAATAATGTATATTCCATCTGTAAAAGAAGAGGGGACTAGATTCACACAACATGCTTAATCCTAAACCAGGTTTTATTTAAAAACAAACAAACAAACAGTTGGTCTGTCTACGTGGCTCTCTATGGCCAAACTAACAAATTGACAAAGTTAAGTGACAAGCTAGTTTAGGGGCATCCACCCTGGGGCATGTTTTAAAAAGTCAGGAGGAAAAACTACAATCTTGGCTAGTTTGATTGGTTTTGCACAGCTAACCAATCCCAGTTTTGTTTAGTGTGGTATGGTGCAACCGCTAACTACAGAGTGTCCAGCCCAGGTTTTCTGGTGTGCTCTGTGACTGGGCGAAGCTAGAAAGCCAGGGTTCCTTAATTAACAACTCTTTTTGACTATGCATCACACTGCTTACCACGGTCCAGAAAATATCTGCCCTTTGTGTCCCCATGTAAATAATTAGAAATAAAGAGAACCTGATTCCAATGAAAATGAGAAAAAAATAATCCAGTTAAACTCTGGTCCATAATCTAAGTTTCCTTTGGTTCAACAGAGATAGGAAGTATAGGAGGGAAGAGGCAGATCACAGATAGTGTTTTATACCAATCTGTTTTCTTATGTTTGCATTATATGTATCTTTGAAAGAAATGAATGGAAATTCATAGCAGTGTTTTAATTTGGGAGCTAGAAAGTTCTTCTGGTAATATCTAATTGAGGGGACAAAGAATAAACCAAAATCATAATCTATCTGAATTGAATGCATTTCGTATTTTAAACAATTCCTGTCTCAAAAGATCTTAGAGTCGTTAGAGAATACTTTTAATGAAAAAAGAGAAAAATGTATCTGGGCTAGGTTCACACAAGTTCCTAATTACTGAACTGATTTGTTTCTGGATTTGCACCAAACAGTACACTAAACTGTAAACTAACCACATGTGTGGGCTTTCCATACTATGGTAAGCCATGGAAAATTAATGGTTTCACCATAGCCAAGCTTAGCAATGTTATGCAAATGAAGCTTTAAGATCTTTAACAGACCTCATTAAGCCAGCGTACAAATACAAACATTGTCTGAGCTTTTGTGAAGCTTGTCCTTTGTGTTCATGCACGCACAAGGTTGTTTATCCTTTACAAAGAAGAGAGAAAGAACCTCAGTGGCAATATTAAAAGAAGTCAGGTGTCTTTTGTATTACACTTGAGCCCTGGTCCCTAGATAGGTTTCGAATAAAAACGTGGAGTTGCTTTTTTATTGTCATCTGCTGGGACAGACTTCCCATTTCCAGTTCGTAATGTATAGTGCTAGAAACCGGTGATCTTCTACCCATGTATTAACAAGACCTGGCCATGATTCACTTCCCACTTTGGATGAGACAAGCCAAGTTCTGCCTTTTTCTGAACACTTAATACGGTGTTTGTCAACCTTAGCAACTTTAAGATACGTGAACTTCAACTCCCGGATCTCTTTTGCCAGCTGGAGAATTTTGGGAATTGGTCCTCACATCTTAAAGTTGCCAAACTGGAAAAACAGTGACTTAAACATATAGCCAGCACTAATGTGGCCATAATGAGGGCCACTGTTTCATTCAATGTCTGCATTTGTGCGCATGCATGCACATGAATGCAAAATGACAAATAAAAAGGAAGTTGTCCTTCATGCCTGAGGCTTACCTGAAAACATCTATGCCCTTCTTTGGCCCAATAGTGGGTCCCACAATGATGCCATAAAACCATCTATAGATTTCATCTGGCTTTTGGTGAATATGAGTTTACAAACTGTTCTCCTTATAAGCAGATGCTTTTGCAAATGGAGAAACTTCAACACAGCTGCTGTGTGTATCCATTATATGTCCTCATTTTCCCTTAGCCCAAAAATTATCTCTCCTTGATTTAAAAGTTCCAGCCCTTCTCTACTTCCCTAATACATTTTTTTAAAAAACTTTTGAAGCCATTATGTGCTCTCGATCATACTTCTAAATTTGACATCCAGGTTCATATCTGAAGTACATGATAAAAAGGAGAATCCAGATATACTTAAGGTTTTTATTATTCCAATGACTTCAGTCAAAACACGTACTGGTGCTGAATTCCATTTACAATGCTTTAAACTGAAATGAGTCAGTCTTTCTGTAATTTCATCTTCCATCTTCGATGCATTAGAGGTACACAGTGATTTGTTGTGTAGACAGTTTACTTTATCCTCTACAAACATTTGGTTTGGGGGAAAATGTGGGGTTTTTTTTATAAATTTGTATTGGTTTTTAAGACAAACAGAAAAAACATAAAAACTGAGCCATCTTCCATATATATATACATACAGTGTGTCAGTTGGTTTACAAATTGTTTTGTGCTTCCATTTTGTAGTCTTCAATTACAATTACACTGTATAATTCTTATATTTTCAATCAAATATTAAGTACATTAATATCATTGTTAATCAATCATTTGACTATACTTTTATTCATTCCTGTTTTAGGAAATAATCCATATTTTATTTAATTTGTTTTATGGCAGTTCATATTATCATCTCAAATCTATCCTACAATCATTTTGTAAATATAATAAGAAAAGAATACATTATATATTTATTATTTCCTAAGAATCTACATATTTCATTACCATGTTTTATTGTCTAACCATTGATAGAATAGATCCCAAATTTTATAAAATTGTTTATCATCTTGTTCTCTGATTTCAAATGTCAAACTACTCATTTCAGCATATTCCAATATTTTCTTAATGATTTCCTCCTGTAATGGTATTTTCTCATTTATCCAGTTTTTGGCAAATACAATCCTAGCCACTGTTAATACATTTACAATCAGGTATTTCAATTCTTTACTATATATTTCAGGCAAAACTCCCAATAAAAATATCTCTGGTTTCAAGTCTATATCCTTTTTTATCATTTTTTCCAACCACGTGTGGATTTTAGTCCAGTATTTTTTGGCATCTGCACAAGTCCACCATATATGGCAATATAAGCCTGGTATCTGATGACATTTCCAGCATTTTTCGGATTTGTTCTTGAACATTCTTGCTATTGTCGGGGGAAAATGCCACCTGTAAAACATCTTATACAAATTTTCTTTATATGCTGTTGACATTGTCATCTTATAATTTTAAGATCACAATTTTTGCCATTTCTCTAGATCAATCCCATATCCAAAATTCTTCCCTGTTTGGGGGAAAATGTTATTAGAGCCAGAAAACACTTTGACAATTTCCATGAGAGATGCTGAGTGCAGGATAATGAAGCAGATTAGGGATCTGAAGAGCCGAGGTGGCACAGTGGTTAGAATGCAGTACTGCAGGCTACTTCTGGCTGCCTGCAATTTGGTAGTTCGAATCTCATCAGACTCATGGTTGACCCTTCCAAGGTCGATAAAATAAGGACCCAGATTGTTGGGGGCAATATGCTGACTCTGTAAACCACTTAGAGAGAGCTGCAAAGTACTGTGAAGCTGTCTATAAATCTAATTGCTATTGCTATCTAAACCAAGAACACCTGCAGGAATCTCAGATACTGGCCAGAAAATTGGGTGGTATCTTTTATGTCCCCCCCACTCTGATAAATATGTAGAAAACTGGATTCACTTAATGACTGCCTGATTCCCTTAACTGCAGTGATCCATTTAACAACCATGGCAAAAACAAAAATCACAAAATTGGGTGTGACTCACAACTACCTGGGCAATGGAAATTCAAGTCATAATTATGGTTGTAAGTCAAGGACTACCTGTAGCACCACCTTAATGCTAATTTAACTCAACACATCTTTTCCTGGGCCCTTTCTGCTAGGGTGCAAGCCTTGGAAAAGGTAGAGCTTGTTTAAGGATCAGTGAGGGGAAAGAAGATGCCTTTGAAGAGTCTGTACACTATTTTGCTTCAGACCTAAACACCATTCCCTTCCAAGGACAAACAATTACTTAAAGTGGCTTCATTCAAACCCAAAACAAGGATCCTTTTTAGTTATGCCATAGTCAATTGCTTGGGAAACTTTTGCCAGGTTTGTTTATTCATTTAATTTAAATTTATTGACTGCCCAACTCCAGTGGACTCCTCAGTGTGAACTGGGGACTTTATAATTTTCCAAAGAAAGAGTGAATTTCACCAGTCTGTTGCTGAATTGAAATGGTGTCCTCAAATTCTTATCTGAGCAATGTAATTATACCAGACTACATGTAAAGGGGCAAATGCTTGGGTGAAAAAGCTGTCCTTCTCCAGTGGCCCTTTTCTTATTCAAGATGCAGGGGCAGATTGTGCTTCCAAAGGCTGGCCAGACACTATTATTCCTTCCACATAGTCACTCTGTGAAGCCCTGGTCCTAAAAAAAGGCTCTAGGGGTACTTGTCGTTGGAAGGTCTCAGTGGTAAAATAATAAACCAGAGGATCTAGGGCAGCATTCACACAGGACAGGAGCAGGACATATCTGTAGGCCTGATCTAAATTATTTTCATTCAACCCTGATATATGATAGCAAAGTACCGTCAAATGGTAGGGCAAGAAGCAACCCAGAAAGATGGTCACGTTCATTACTACCATTAACCTGATCTTGGATATATTGATCAGCTCCATCTCCACACTTACACTCCGGTGGAAAACATGGAGCAGACTATAGGAGGAAGTTACCATGACAGCCAATGTAATGGCATAGCATAGCACCATAGTACTGGAAATACCACCATTTGTGATATATTGAGGATGTTCATCAAAACAGAAAGTGGCATTTATCGCAGTTTTCCTGCCAGCAAAGTATGTGGGAATGGTTCCCCCAATACTCAAGGCCCATATACCCACACAGATGTACTTGGCTTGTCGGCGTATGGCCTGTGACCAGGAGCTGAGTGGAAAGTGGATAGCCATCCAACGGTCTGAGCTGATACAAGTCAGAAGGAAGATGCTGCCATACATGTTAACCAAGAGCAGCAGGCCTGCCACTTCACATGTGGTTTGAGATAGCTGGGGTTGCCAGCCATAGTAGTAGATCCTCAGAGGAATCGACGCCAACAGCAAAAGATCGCAGACTGCTAGATTCTTCATGTAGACGGTGGTGATGGAGCGGACAACATCTCTGAAGATAAAAATGTA